GGGGGCGGCGGTGTCGGCGGCAGAGCTGGAGGTGGGACTGTCAGGCTCCCGGCCTCGGCGGGAGGTGGAGCCGAGGTTCTCGCGTGCATTGTCCCCGGGAGGGAGCCATGTTTCTTCCTCCCCGGCACTCCCAGATGGCGGCCGGGGGCGCGGGGCCTAAGCACACGGCAGCCCCGAGGCCTGGGAGGCAGGCGGCGGCAGGCGCGGGGGAGGAGGTCCGGGCCCACTGCGGCCAGTCTCCAGGACGGCGCCCCCGCACGCACCCGGAGGCGCGGCGGGAGAGGGCGCCCCGGGCGACGGTTCCCGACTCCGGCCTCCCACCCCCAGTCGGTTGAGGCGAAAGGAAGCAGCCCGGCCACGGGCCGAGTCGGTGGCGGGCAGGCCGCATCGGCCTCCTCTCCGGCCGCAGCCGGGGGCGGAGCAGAGGGCAGCAGGCCCCGCACCTCGACCTCCCAGGCCTCGGCCCGGCCCGGCCCGGAGCGCCCCGATCCCCTGCTCACCATTGGCGCGTTTGAGAGCATTTTCCGGTCTCTGGAAGTAGGCCGGCATCTTGGCGGCAGGCTCAGGTCACCCGGCGTCAGCGAACTCTGTGGCTGCCCGGGCCGGGAGCTGAGACCAAGGGGAACCGGCGCGGGCTTCCACGCGCCTCGCCAGTAGTCGCCCGCGCCCAGCCGGCCAGAGACGGAAAGGAAGGCACCACGTGACTACCGCGCGGCGGCGCCGCAGCCGCCCGGGCCCCGGATGTAGGAGGCGGGCCTCTGCGCGCGCAGCGCCCCGCCCCGCGCACAGGCGCGCTGGCGTCACTTGTGTCCGCTGACGTGGCGAGAGCTGGCGTATCGCTGGCTATGGGGCTTCTGCAGACTTTGTTAAGAACCCAGTTTAGATGTCTTCTTCTCCTCGAGCGACGATGGGGCGGGAAAGGTGGAGTTAAGTTCCGAGTATCTGGTGAAAAGCAGGAGTCTGTCAAGATTCATTTTTAACTGGATTTCTGCGAAGTCATGCAAACTTTGCAATAAATAAGGTCCCCCTCTGACCCGCAGCATGGCCTAAACTCTAGGAAAATGATAAAAATCCTTAACGGAGCAGATACCTAAACTTGACTGACCTGTCCCAAGAGGGATAATCATGGGGAGTTAGAAAGCAGGAATTAAGGTTATTTCTTGGTCAAATAAAAGAATTGATGAGACCGGAAGAGGCAGAAATCGTGAAACAACAGACTTGCATAAAGTCTGCAAATACAGGGGAGCATATTTTACACTGCACATCCTATCAAGAGAAGAAAAATGGCTGTTGATGGCTAAATCAAGTTATAAGAGGTTCGGTGCTCCAGCCTTTTATTATTGAGTAGCAATTTTGATGTTCAAAGATCAATTAGCTTGCCTAACTTAAAAGCCATTTAAACAGAATTTAATGTCACAAGGCTTTAATATGACATCCATAGGGGCCAGCATGAGTCAGAATAGGAATCTACTCAGCAGCAATGGGTCTGGGGGTATTGTTTGTTGTTATGATATTGAGATGAGTCCAGGCAGGGAAGTCAGAAAGCAGCAGCGAAATACAGCATTGTGAACTGACAACCTGCTTTGGCTGGCTGGGATATGTGAACTAATGGGAGTGCTAATAATAAGACCATGTTCCATTTCACGAGGTTTTCAGTGGCTAATTTTTCAGAAGTAGTCCACCTCTTCCTCCTTCCTAGTCTGTCTTAGTCTGGAAGCTCCACAGACACCAGGGTGCTGGCATTTGAAATACCAGTGGGGTAACTTCCAGCCTCACTGCAACACACAAGCCACCACCGTGTGACACACTGACAGACAGTGGTCAAGCTAATGAGGGGATACTACATGAAAGAATGAGGAAACCACAGTACAGACATGAAAAGCATTTTCCCCTCAATCCTTCTGCCTCAGCAAAGAGGCCTGTGAACTAGATGTATCAGTATAAGGAAAGATGTTTGGGAAATGCAGACAAGAACCAATGGAAAAATCACTTGTTTTAAAAAAAGAATTTAGAGGAGGGGTGGGATTAAAAATAAAGAAAGAAAGAATTATTGAAAAATTAACTTCAGTCTGTCCTTCTTCTAAAATGCATACATCATTCTACATAGATGACTCCCAGCAATATTTGAGCCATTTCGCAAGGGTTGATTTAAAAGCAACAAGTACTAAGAAGCTGTCAGAACTGTTTTATGGGGCAGGATCAAGAGACTGGTGTGTGTGGATGTAATAATTAAGTCAAATTACAGAGCTAACCTTAAGAGCAAGTCTTGCTTTAAAGCACAGTAGATAGAAAAATATTTAGGCCATTAAGATGCAAGGAGAATTAAAAATAAACCAGGTTAAATGTCGGAGAAATTGTTCCAACATTCTTGCCTTTTCATTAACATCTCAAAGAAAATGATACAGTGGCCTTGTTGGCTATTCCTTGTTATTTGGTAGCCCAACAGCAAGCCAAACACTAGAAAAAATGGAAGGTAAAGTGACATCCAATATCCTATTCACTTGCAAAATATTTAAAGTATGGAAAGCATCTGGTGATCAAAGAATTATTGTAAGTTCATTGAATAAACTTATTTAGACTCTAGCTCCATATTCATGAATTAAAGGTATAATGTCACTTTCCAGGATGGATTGATCTGTTAAACCTCATCGCAAGTACACAATCAGAGCAAGAGCAATCATGTTGGAACCTTTGGGTCCAATCTATTCATAATGACACTGTTTCTGTCAGAGTAGTAATATACTCACAAGGTTTCCAATGGCTGATGTAGGAAATAGATCGCCAGGCCTTTCTTCCAAGGCATCTGAGTGGTCCCAAACCTCCAACCTTTCAGTTCGCAGCTGCCAACTGTTAACAATTTGCACCACCTACAGAGGCCTGGGTTAAAGGGAGCCTGTAGAGAGATGCATGCTTCCTGCTTTTTAAGGTGTTTATGGTGATTGCTTGTAGTAAATGACATGAAAGGCACAAGAAGACAGGCTCAGTCTGGGAGAGGTGGTGATGGTTAGCTGGTGTGGAGCGCATTCTGACTTGTGCTGACCCACTGTGTGCAGAGGACAACTGCTCCATAGCATCCATATGACTGGCACCCATCATCAAGAGATCTCCAGGTCTGTCTTCCAAGGCTCCTCTGGGTAGTCTGGAACCGCCAACCTTCCAGCTAGTAGTGGAACACTTAACACTTTGTGGGGACAGAATCTGGAGCGGGAGGGAAACATACTTTCTGTTGATTGATACTTCCTAAGTAAGAAACAGAAGATCAGAACATACAAAAACCATTTTAGCAAGTGGTCAAAGGAAGCAATCAGGTGGATGAAGGTGTTTTCCCTAATTAAGCTACTTTCATACTAATAGATGAGGGAGTACCCCAAAAAAACTGTAATTTTTTCCCCAAAGCTATGTGTTTACTTTTTTTTTTTTTTAACAAAACAACCTTATCACCTTCAAAGTACTCTCCATTACACAATACATTTGTCAAACCTGTGATTCCATTCTTAGAAACATTTTTCAAATCCACCTGTTTGGATGGCTGACAGCACCTCCCTAGTTTTTTCTTCACCTCTTCTGTCATCAAATTGCTGTTGTTTCATGCCCCTCTTCATTCTCAGAAATAAATAGAAGTCGCACTGAGTAAGGCGCATGGAGCAATAGAGTCATGTTGTTTTTTGCTGAAAACTGCCAAATGAGATGACTGCGTGAGCAGGTGCATTGTCCTGGTGGCAAAACCAGTCCCCTTTCTGCCACAAATCAGGCCTTTTTTGGGGTGGCAAACTGTTACATAATCTTTTCAAAACCTCTGAATAGAAAGCTTGACTAACAGTTTGACCTGGTGGAATGAACTACAAGTTGACATGTTCGTCTATTCCGGAAGTTGACAGACGTCCAGAATGACATTTCACCTTTTTTTGAAACGAGAAAACCACTTGCACACTTGAGTTTTTCCCATAGGGCTGTCTTTGTAAGCTGTGTTCAATATCACAACAATTATGTGGCATTTTTCCCAAGCAGGAAACAAAATTCCACAGCCACACGCTGATCTCTTAAATCAACCATCACAAAATAACAAGGTTCCAGAAAAATTGCTTTTATGAAAAAAATTCACTATGATCACAGAGAACCTTTCCAGGTGACTCCACTGGGTGCACAACTCAGAGCTTGTTGCTTCATGCTGGCCTAGCTGGAGGGAAATGTGTATTACGAAAGATCTGCCCAGTGGAATTTTTTCCTGTTTTTTGGGGAGGTACCCCATCATATAAGCAGCTCTAGTGGCACAAGGCCAGGAACCCAGGTGGCATAGTGATGACCCTTTACGCTGCTAACTATGAGATCAGCAATTCAAATTCACCAGCCGCTCCTTGGGAGAAAGACGAGGCTCTCAAATCCTGTAAAGAGTTACAGTCAAGGAAGAAAATGTTCTAGATTTGAATATGATGACATTTGTACAAATCTTCTTGATATGACTGAATTGTTGAATTGTATATGTTGATAAAGTACTGAAAACTGGGTGTGTTTTTTTAAGTTACAGTCTTGAAAACTCACAGGGGCAATTTCAATCTGTCGTACAGGGTCACAATCTGTCTTACAGGGTCACAATCTGTCATACAGGGTCACTATGAATCAATTTGATAGCAGTGAGGTTAGTGTTGGTTTGGCTCCTCCACTACAAGCTAGTCGCTCGTGCCTTGTGTGACTCTGGTTGTTAAAAACGGGCTTCAGAAAGCCCACTGAGCCACTGTCATGGACACGAGGCGCCAGCTACACCATCCCAACGGAAGGGGCCGATTGGAATCCATAAGATGGGCGTTGCTGCTGTTGGTGTCAAGATTTTAAGGGATCACAGACAAACCTTTCTCGTTGCGAACCAGCTGAGTCTTGCGGATGTGGTTCTATTGCAAACCATTTAGGCCAGGGGTCCTCAAACTTTTTAAACAGGGGGCTAGTTCACTGTCCCTCAGACCCATTGGAGGGCCAGACTATAGTTTTAAAAAAAACTGTGAACAAATTCCTATGCACACTGCACATATCTTATTTTGAAGTAAAAAGCAAAACGGGACAAAAACACCAGCAGGCCGGATAAATGTCCTCGGTGGGTCGTAGTTTGAGGACCCTGATTTAGGCTCTAGAAGACAAAGTTCCTAACATCCTCTCTGACTCCTCGCCTCCAGGAGTTCTCAGTGAAGATAAGTAATGTTCCTACAATTCAGAAATTCCTCCAGCCCGGCCGCAAGAAGGCTCCCCACAAGGACATCTATGGGAAAACCGGCTACATCATCTCTGCGCTGGAAACAGGCAGGAAACAGGCTACCTCATCTCTGCGCTCATCTACAGGCAAAGGCAAGAGCTTGGCCGAGAGCCTGCTGTGTCCACAGTGCCTAAGCTGACGGCAGGTTGCAGTGACCCAGCCCTGTCATGGCCTCTTCTAGAAATAGCGACTTTCCCCCCCTGTCTAGTGAATGTTGTTATAATGGGGCTTTTTTCTTAAAACCCTTTTGGGGATACTAGTGTTTAAGTTGGATCAGATCTGGTTGCTGCAAGTAACCAGGATCAGTGGACCCTCCTGTTCTCACTTGAGCATCCTTCCTCCTCTCTTGACCCCATTCTGAAACCTCCCTGGTCTTTTCCTGATGGATAATGTGTTAGTCTGGGTAGACTAGAG